CTTTGTGCTCTGTGCCAGGATCTCTTCTTCCAGGAAGCTCTCCAGGCAGTCTCTGCAGACTAGTGAGCCCTGCCCCCACCGCAGTTCTCAGAACCCGTACACTCTGTATGCAGTGTTGCATACCGTGGACTCCAGACGCCGCCTTTACCTGTGACTTCTCAAGGGTGTCCAGGGTGGGCCCATCTAGTCCCCACCTTGTGTCTTTATCCTGACAAGAGCCTGGGATAGACAGGCATTGGTGCTTAGGAGGGGAGGGCTCGCTTTTCCGGTAGAATTGGAACTGTCAAGGACTATGGGGCTGAGGGGCTCCAGAATGCCAGCCTTGTGCTCACACAGAGTTGTCCGCCACCAGGGTCACCTGGAATGGACAGTGTCCTCTTAATGGCAGGCAAGAGACCCTAATGCAACATCCCTAAGCAACTGAAGTGTCTGCTGGGCAGGGGCCCCTGGAGAAAGCCACTTGAATGTTCCCCTAGGATGAGATCCCCACAGCTGGGGGGTGGGTGGCGGCTGGATGAGTGGTTCCTGTCTACACAGGCAGCTCTTGTGCACCAGGGCTTGAGGCAATGTCCACCCTGGGAAGTTAGGTCACCAGCTTCCTCCCAGGAATGCAGACCCTTGGGCCCAGAGGATGCAGCTGGGAGGGGCCCACACGATGTCTTCTGAGCCCAACTCAGAGGCCATGACCCTGGCCTTTGACCCTGAACAGTGTGTTGGGCAAGGGGTTGCAGCAGGGGGGCGCTGTCTGGAGATGTGATTGCCAGATGATGAGACCTTCAAAGGAAGAGGAGAGGTTTGAGCCAGACTCTGGCTTTCTGGTAGGTGGGGGTGACAAGGGCAGTGTGCAAGAGGCACAGTCAGTGGTTATCAGGATAGTAAATAATAGCCAGGATACATGCAGAGAAATTCTTTTTAATGTCCCCACAATCCAAAAGGACCATCCTCAGCAGGTAGAAGAGAAAACTGAGGAATAAAATGGGTGGTGGTAGCTGGGCATTGGTGGCACACTCCTTTAATCCCAGCACTCGGGAGGCAGAGGCAGGAAGATCCCTGAGAGTTCGAGACCAGCTTGGTCTACAAGAGCTACTTCCAGGACAGCCTCCAAAGCCACAGAGAAACCCTGCCTCAAAAAACCAAAAAGAGTGGTGCTTAGGGTCAGCTCTAGAAACTTCTGGAAGAGACTGCATCATGGTGAGAAGTCAGTCCATTCACACCAGACAAAGTGAGACCACCATGAGTGGACCATGTCTACACCAAGGTGAGACCGCCATGGGCGGGCCATGGGCTTGGCGTGTCCTGCAGCAGTCTCCTCTGAGATGAAACACTGCAGCCTCAAGGGAAGCTTCTTACCACCAAGGAAGTAAACAACTCAGAAGCCCAGCAAGTCCCTGAAACTGATCACATAACACTAGGTTCTCTTCTTTTCCAACTTATGAAAATACTAAGGGCTGCTGAGACACCCTCGGAACCACCGAGGACACTGGAAGGGACACTGTGGCCTACTGGACTGCCTGCAGGCTGTGCAGTGTGAGCTCCAGTCTCCCAGCTTTTGTGAGCCGTCACCCGTGCTGGGGTGGGCTTTGGTGATGCAGCTTTCACAGTGTCATTTCTGCTCCTGTAAGTGACCCCTCACCTATGCTTCTGTAAGTGACCCCTCACCTATGCTCCTGTAAGTGACCCCTCACCTATGCTTCTGTAAGTGACCCCTCACCTATGCTCCTGTAAGTGATCCCTCGCCTATGCTCCTGTAAATAAGCCCAATACAACTCATTAGTTCACTAAGTTGGACTTCTGTGGTACCCTTACTTTGTCTGTTGTCAGTTCCCTATCTGGACTTGTGTTTTTATCTCCCCAGGAATAGTGTCACACAACATGGTGCCCTCAGGAGACGACAAGAGGGTTGAAGAGTTGTAGCCACTGCTTTGGGCCTCCAATTTTATTTGCAAGTGTGTCCACTATGCATGGGCTGGCTCTGTGTGCTCCTGGGGCATCCAGTGACTTACTCCATGTGCACAGCTCATTGGCCCACACTCCCTGGTGGCCCTGACACTGACACATGTAAGCGTGTGGCTCGTGGGAAGGCAGAGGAGGTACAGACTAGCTGAGTCCCTCCACCAGTGTGCCAGGGGCTGAAAGGTGGGACACTGGCCCAACAAACAAGGGACAGGAAGCTCACTGGGCTGAGAGATACTTCCTGATGCCTCGAGGGTCCCTGGGAAAGTTATGAGGAGGGGGCCCCAAGTTTTACCAAAACTCAGAGCTCTTCAACTCAGTCTTTTCTGTGTTTCTTAAAGTAAAAATGTGGGCCAAGGGTCCTGAATGTGCAGTGATCATGTGTGCTGTGTGGCGTCTGGGTGTGACATTACATGCATGCTGTGTGCATGTGAGCTTGATATGAGCTGTGTGTGTGTGTGGAGACTGCTGTGGCAAGGCTCACGTGCATGTGGAGGGCGTGACAGGAAACTGTCCTATGCTGAGGGCCAGCTGTTGGCTTACTGGGATTCGGGGAAGTGAGACGGGCTGCTTTTGGGCTCTCTGCTGGAGGCCACCCTGCCTTGAACTCCCTGAGGATGGGGAAAGGGCCTGGTGACAGTGGAGTTTATTTGGGTTAGCCAGACCAAGCTGGCAACCTTGCCCAGCTGCTATGTCCCAGGGGCCACTGTAGGGACAGTGGCCGGACCATTTCCATGGCAAACTGGGTGTCCCTCCCATCAGTGTAGGAGCCTGAGCTTCAGACCCATGACACCTTCCTGGGGGAGGGCCAGGGGCCCTCCCCTGAGGTCACCAGCTTCTTCGCTCTTTACTCCTCCAAGGCACCCGCACCCCTCCCTTCTTACCTGGCCTGCCTGCTGAGGGATGGCTTGCTCATCCTCAGGGCCACAGGGGCAGGCTGCACCCAGGGAGTCACTAATGTAGACAGACCAAGCTGCCCTCATGCCCACATGACCTGATTGAGCCCTCAAGACTCAAGTCCTCCACCCCTTGACAACCCTACCTTCCCTTAAGAATGCTTCTGTCTGCTCCTCCCAGCCCCTTCACCTAAGAGCTCAGCCCGGGCTGGGGAGCGTCCTCCAGCCTCTCTGCCTGCCCCATCCCTCTCCACATCCCTCTGACTGGGCCAGTTTCACCTCAGGCCCTTCCCAGGCCTAGTCAGGCAATGGTGCTCGATGAGCTTGAGGACTGAGTGTAAGGCAACCCACTGGGAGCCTGTCACCCCATCTGGCCTGGGAATTCTTGGTACCCAGGGAGCTCCTCTGCCTCACCTCAGCACCTGGGGATGCTGCTCGGCAAGTCTGCGCTGACTCAACAGGGAGCCTGCAAAGAGTGAGCACTTACTGTATGCTTGCTCTACCCACTGTTTGAGCGCTTGCTGTATGCTTGCTCTACCCACTGTATGAGCGCTTGCTGTATGCTTGCTCTGCACACACTGTATGAGCGCTTGCTGTGTGCTTGCTCTGCACACACTGTATGAGTGCTTGCTGTGTGCTTGCTCTGTACACACTGTATGAGCGCTTGCTGTATGCTTGCTCTGCACACTGTTTGTTCTAGCTCAATGAGTGCTGAGGGAGCTACAGTGAGGGACACTGGGAATCTGGTCTACTTCAGCCAGCAGAGGTGGGGGATGGGCCCTGGCACAAAGTTCTGGAGTTTTGATAAAGTAAACACACTGGCCTTTAAAGCCAGCGCCTGCAGGAGTTGGCATGAGTCCGGACTGCCCATGCAGACCAACCTCTGTAAGGTGCCACCTCACCAGGGTACAAACGGGACTCACTGTGGCACCAGGCAGCAGAACCTGCCCCCCCCCAACCAAAACTCCTTCAGAGGCATGAGGGGAAACTAGTCTATGGACACTTGTCCTTGCATGGAGTTGTCAGCTAGATGTCTTATTCTATGAATGGCCCCTCTGAACAAGGTTTCTAGTGCTGTCCCATTTCACAGACAAAGACACGGAGGTTGTCTAGTGGAATGCAGACCAGTCGGGCTCCCAGCTAAGTTTCGGGCTGTACAAGCCAGGGCTCCACCCATCAGCTCAGCCCAGGCTAGGGGCCACGAGGACCCGGACCGCTGCAGTAGACAGGCAGGGTCCAGTCCTACCAGCACTTCCCTGCATGCCTCTGAGGGTGCTAGCTGGTCCTTGTCTGCTTCTCACTTCCAGGGGTTCTGATGAGGCCTGGCACCCGGCACCCGGCACCCCCATGCCCAGACTTCTGCCAGGGCTCCCTGAAGCCTCAAGGAGGTGCCATGACTCTCCCTCTTCTTCTCATCACACAGTCTCCCCCCAGCACAAGCCTTCCTGCCCTCTCTCTTCTCTGCCCACCGCTTGTCACGACGAGTCAGAGGAGCGCTCTTCCTCCCTGTGTCCAAACCGCCACTTCACCCTAATGGCCTTCGCTGCATCTTGCCACCCCTGTCGTCCAGGAGGTCCAGGGTGCCCTGGGCAGGAAGGATTTTCCCAGAGACCCCTGAGAATGAGCTAGCACACAGGGTCTCAGGAAACCCAGGCTTTCCAGGGAGGGCACTGCCACTGTGCGCCTTGTACAAGCTATATGTGTGGCTGTGTTTCATGGGAGGCAGTGTGTCTACCCCTCTTCTCGGTGCCTCTGTGCGGAGCGGCTTGTATGCCTGTGTGTGACATGTGTGACTGCTGTGGCTGTGTATGGTGATGGGTGACCATGACACTGTTACAGTCACTGAAATGAGCGTGTCCTGGGCCCCTCTTGCAGCATCCCCTAGCTCACCATAGCAATGAACACACAGTACTCATGTACCAAGGCCCACGGCCCTCACTTGTCCACCCTCTGACCCAACCCTGCCTGGATGGCCTTCTGACCCTTGCAGCTGTACCTCTGGGAGCAGTTAGGGTGGAGCTCTGCAGAGTCAGGACCCCCAGAATGACCTATTGGCTCAGCTTCTGTTTGGAGGTCTGTGCCCACAACTGTAAATCCCTACTACTAGAGACTAGGACCCCCGGTAGGGGCAGGAACACACTCAACCAGAGCTGTAGTGACTGTGAAAGTAGCTTTGTTATGCCAAGCACAAGGCTCCTCCTTGTGCAGCTCTCCACAGAAAGGCTGGGCGCAGTGGAGGAGCGGCCAAGTGGGTGCTAGGGCCCAAGTGAAGGATTGTGGGGAGGTCTGGATGGCTCTGGTGGATGCCCTCGTCAGGAAGCACCAAGGGACTCATCTACATGTGGAAAGCCCATAGCAACCCAGGGCTCTGGGTAGGCCCGAGGACAAGAGCCACAGCACCTGCTCAAGGAAACGCATCTTCTGCTGGGGTTAGCCAGCTCCTCCTTGGCCCAGGTATCTGGGCCTCAGCCTGCCGCTCAGCAGGTCTCAGCTCAGCTGCCTGGGCGCGGGGTGGTATATCGTGCACCAGTGGTGAGACCTCTCAGGGCCCTGCACCAGTGGTGAGTCCTCCCAGGGCCCTGCACCAGTGGTGAGTCCTCCAAGGGCCCTGCACCAGTGGTGAGTCCTCCCAGAGCCCTGTACCAGTGGTGAGTCCTCCCAGGGCCCTGCACCAGTGGTGAGTCCTCCCAGGGCCCTGCACCAGTGGTGAGTCCTCCCAGGGCCCTGCACCAGTGGTGAGTCCTCCCAGGGCCCTGCACCAGTGGTGAGTCCTCCCAGGGCCCTGCACCAGTGGTGAGTCCTCCCAGGGCCCTGCACCAGTGGTGAGTCCTCCCAGGGCCCTGCACCAGTGGTGAGTCCTCCCAGGGCCCTGCACCAGTGGTGAGTCCTCCAAGGGCCCTGTACCAGTGGTGAGTCCTCCCAGGGCCCTGAACCAGTGGTGAGTCCTCCAAGGGCCCTGCACCTGTGGTGAGTCCTCCAAGGGCCCTGCCATCCAGGAGTTGAGCAAACAGCTGTGTCCTACAGCTTGTTGGCTTTCTGTTGCCGCAGCGCCTGAAGGAAGACCCCCTTCACCTGGCCCAGGGTCTGGTGGTACATGCGGAAGTCTTCCTCCTTCCCACGCAGGGCACTGCCCAGGGCGTCTCTCAGTACTCTGTTCTCCTCCATCTGGATAGTCAGCCTGGACAGAGGGAGATGGGGCTGAGTGCCGAGAACCAGCAGGTGTGCTGGGGGCGGGGCCTGGAGAAGGGAGGGGCTGTGCTGCTGGCGAGGTTAGGGTTCCCTTCTATCTGCCCCCTCCTCTCTGGGCCCCCAGGGGGTGCAAACCAAATGGATCTTTCTCTGCCCCCCCCCCCACAGTACTGACCCAGAAGCTCCAAGTAGCCTTAACTACCCAGATTCCCAGACACCCCTGGTTTGTTTGTTTTGTTTGTTTTGTTTTTTTGGTTTTTTGACATGGGCTGGACTCAGGCTCAGTAAGCAGCCAGTGGTGATCTCACCACCTTGCCTCCACCAGCGCTAGAGTGCTGGGATTACAGGTGTGAAGGACCACGCCCTATGTACACAACTCTGGGGACTGAACCCAGGCCTTTGTGCATGCCGTGTCAGCCCCCTACTGGCTGGGACACACCCTGGCCCCCTTAGAGGGTAACTCCTGGAGAAAGTGGGGCACAGCCCAGTATTGATACAGGTTCTCTTGGGACCATGGGGTCATCGGGGCACTGTGGACCACCTCCCTCCCCGCCCCACGAAGGCCAGTCCTAGCAAAACCATCATTCTGGGCAAGGAGAAGTCCTGGGTGCCAGGGACAGGGACAGGGACATAGTCCCTCTGCCCGTGAAGCCTCCACTTGGGCATCTCTAGGCTTTCTGGAAGGCTGGGCAGGAGGCACCTGGTGGTCAGCTCCTCTATCTGGGATTCCATGGGAACGTCGGAGAGCTGACTGGAGGATGAGTCTTTCTTGGCGCTCCCAGTCGGGTTGTGCTTGGTGCTGGGGGTAGGTGGCCCTGTGGAGAGGCAGCAGCCACGTTCTGCTGTGAGGTCAGAGTTATGCGAGCGCTCCCTCCCCACCGTGCCCACTTCCTGTTTTCCAGCTTGTCATCTCCTACAGGGTGCAGGAAGGGGCCACCTCTCTCTAGAAGCCCTCCCTGACTGCTCTCCACATCCCCAACCCTGGCCCTGCCTGCCTGTGCCACGGTGGTCCTCACCTAAATACCCACCTTTGGCCCTCCTCAGTTTTGTCACTTGCTTGTACCAAAAGTGGACAGTGGGACCTTTGGGCTGGCCTGAGGTCTGAGCCCAAGTCTAGGCCGGTACTGCTCCTGATGCGCCCCTCCCCCCATCCTGGTCCCCCTACTGGTTTCCATTGAGGCTAGCCGCTTTCTATTAGGAAGAGATGGGTGACTGGGCTCAGTGGCCACAGAGTGCTCAGAGAAAGATGAAAAAGCCATGGGTGATGATGTCTGAGCTAACAGGGCCTCAGGAGACACCCAGATTTAGCAGCACTGGCCTTCACCCCTGCTGGGTAGCAATGGGGTAAACCATGGAAGTCTCCTCCCTGGCACTGTGAGAACAGTTGGACTGATGTTTGTCCTCAGTGCCTGAGCTTCCATCACTGTCTGTGTGCTTGGACTCCTCCCTTCCCCTCACCGGTGCTCATGAGCTGTGCAGGGCAAGAGAGCTGTGCTTGCCCCTGGGCCAGTGAGTGGCAGAAGTCACATGAGCTTTTCAGGCATCTTAGACCACAAGACAGGAGCTGACTATGCAAGCAGAGTGGCACCCAAGAAAGGGACTTGGGTCTCCCAGCCATGGAAAGTCCACCTGAGCCCTTCATACAGAAGCCTGCATGTCACACTCTCCCACCGTGGCTGGCCCAGCAGAGCAAGTCTGCCCAAGACCATCTTTGGTTAGGGCTCAATTAGACTCAACCATGGGCCAAGCAAAGGCTCTGGAAGGTGGTACAGGGAGTAGAGGCAGAGGCCATGCGGCTGGGGTAACTGCCATTTCATGCTAAGGCTGCTGGATGGCTCCCATTGGGCCCCAAGGCTCTGGGAGCCAGGATGGGACATGGAACAAGAAGCCCCCACAGCAGGGGCAGGCACAGCTGCCAACACGAATGAAGAGCCCAGGAGCCCACCTGCCCACTCCTGAGGCGGCAGCACCCACCATGCTCCTACCTGACTTGTTCCTAGCGGCCTTCTGGGACGCCGGGGGCCTGGAGGGCTCCAGGCGCATTTTCTCTAGGTGCTGCTCCAGCAGGACAGCGCGCTGCCTCTCCTCCTGCAGCCTCTGCTCAGCGTCCAGCAGCTTGCTGCTGCTCTCCTCCACCCTGGCCGTGAGACACAAGCTTCACACCCTGCAGGCAGGTGCTACCCTGCCCGATTCTTGGTTCCCACAGTGGTGGACACACTATGGAGGTGATGGGTCACTTCCCCTGTGTTGATGTTCGCAGCAGTAACAACAGAACAGGCATTTCAAACTCTCTGAGGCTTACAAGGCAAACCTGGCCGGTGTCCCACCCCTCTGCTCCCAGCTCCTGCCCTCAGAGCAACCACCTCTCTGGTGGCTTTGCTGCTGCTTCCTGAGTTCTCTGCCACACAGTATGCTGGTGTGCCTGGTTTTGAGGCTGGAACTCGGGTCTTGGCTTCCTATCACACTGGATGAGGGTTTCAATTCATTTTACTCTCTCCTGTCAAACTCAGTCACCTTCCCCCTTCTCAGCTGGTTGACACTAGGCAATCTATCTGTTCCCATTGCTGCTGTAACATACCCACCACAAAACGGCAGAGACTAATGAGCAAAATTAGCAAAAAGTTCCTTGAAGACAACATAAAGTTAGTGTCTCATGGCTCTCTCTGTGAGACTGAGGCTGGCAGGCTCCAGGCACCATAGGTTGGAATCCAAGTGTCAGCTGACCTAGGTTCCTATCTGGAATCCCTGGAGGGGGAGAATCTGCTCTCCAGCCCACCCAGAGCTGCCTCCCTACCTCCTGCTGGCTTCAAAAGGCAGTCCCCAAGTCCCTCCTTCGAAAAGCTGGCTTTGAGTCGCTGTGACCCGATTCTTTCCCCCACAGATCCTTTGAATGGCCCCAGATAGGAACATTTCTCTGCCTTTATGGGCTGAAGTGATTACCCAGGATAATCGTTTGGGGACTGTGAAGCACTACAAAGTATTCAGAGGCAGAGACACCATATCCTGCCTTCTGTGGGCCACATTTGGATGAGCGCAGACGCAGGGGCAATGACATGTCCTCACTTCTCCGTTTCTCTGGACTTAGTGAGCGCCATGTGCCTCTTTCATTGCTTTCTTTAAGCCTGCTGCAAACTCGAGGCCCTGGAAGACCCCGCTATGATTATTTCACACGGAAGCTTGTTCTGCCCTGTGGGCCTTGCCGTGGCTCCATAAAACACTTTGTATTTCTGTGGCAATAAAAATCCAGAAGGCCCAGAACCTCTTGAGAGCCAACCTGAGCAAAAGGGGACAGAAACAGTGGCAGATCAGAGCTGCAGCCCAGAAGTCCACAGCGGACAGCAGGGAATCGAACCATCTTTCTGTATTGGTGAGGAGACAACAAAGGATTGTAAGGGCAAGAAATCTGAAGAGAATCCAGTTACTAACCAAAAACTGTACATGAGGCTGCTGCACACTAGCCTGCCATGACCAGTAGGCAGAAGCCAACTTTATCTTCTAAAGCAAGATGCACAGCGACTCTGGGGCAAGGGAAATGGACGGAGGGGTGGGGTTGTGCTCACACCCCAGCAAGGCTGAGCTGAGCAGAGCTGCCCTGCCTAGTGTGGGGCTGTGCCCAGTGCCCACAAGTAGCTATAAAGCTGGTGAGGATTAAAACGGGCTCCCCAGCTCCTCAGGCACACTGGCAACATACCAGGTTTGGGAAAGGCTCCTGTGTGTGGTTCGTGGTTGCTGCACTAACCACTACAGACCTGAACTCACTCTGTCGGCTCTGCTGAGCAGCACCCCCCCCCCCACTTTAACCATCAACACAAACATACTCCGCAGGTCATGGGGTCAGTGAAACAAGGGCCATACCATGAGAACACAGACAGCACAGTGACAGAGAGGGTCACTAAGTAGTGGCATCTGCAGGCCCTGCTTGTTCCTATCTGCAAACACTAATGTCCTGGATAGCAGGGTGTGGTGGGGAAGGGTTAGTGATGGACAGCTTAGTCTGGATGCTGTTAGCAAGATTGCTCTGGTCCCCATCTGTGTCAGCAGAGGTTTGCTGCAAGACCAAGCCCCTCTCCTGTGGGGACATCACCTGTATGGCCGGCTGGCAGTGGGAGGTGGCTGCAGCCATGCAAAGAGAAGGAGTGGTGATGGTGCCTGAGCTGATACCCCATACCCTGAGCCTTTATTGCTGAGCCATCTTGCAAGCCCAAATGAGTTAGTTTTTTTATGATGCCATGGTAGGTCATCGGAGACTTGCGGTCTTCAAACAGTACAAGAATTCCAGGGAAAGAAAGGAATGGCTGCAGTTTAACAGCAACAGAATTCAAGACAAAATCCCATTAAAAAGTAGGCAAAAAATTCTGTGTCTCAAAGGAGATACATGAATTACCAACAGCACATGAAAGAAATGTTCCATATCTGTCATCACTAGGGAAACAGGAACCACACTGACCCACTGGGATGGCTACAACCGGCAACAACGCACAACAACCTGGCTCCAGCACCATCAGCATCAGAACTGTCCGGAAGGCTGTGAGCATGGCCATAAGAGGATGAAGACACACAGGTAAAAGTTGCCCCCTATTCACAATCTGGAAGGTTCTGAGAGGCTGGGGTGTAGCTGGGTGGTGGGGCTCCCACCACCAAGCTCAAGCCCCTGGGTTCATCCCCAGCAGCATAGCAAAGCAAAGCAAAAGGCCACCTCTGGGTCTGGTGGCACATACCTTTAGCCACAGAATTCAGGAGGCAGGGAGAAGGGTCTCTGAGTCTGAGCCAGCATGGTCTACACAGTGAGCTCTAGGCAAGCCAGGGCTGCATAGTGAGGCCCTGTCTCAAAAACAAACAAACAAAACAAAGATGTCAAAGTAAAATGAGGACAGAGATAAACATCTTAATGGAAGAAAGTATTTGCAAACTAGAAGCCAGTAACGCAGATGGTGGGACGCTAAAGAAATGAGGGAGTCGTGTGGGAAGAACCCCCGTAAGAGGCGGAGAGAAGCTCCATGGGGCGTTAGTGAGCGAGACATCGTGCATAATGAAGGGCGCGACTTAAATATTTACAGCAAATTAACAATTTAAAAACAAACACATCCAAGGCTACTGTCACTCTGCTTGTAGAGTGGAAACTGACTGGGGGGGGGGGGACGCAGGGGCTGTCCCTTCTGCTCTGCTTGCTGTTTCAGGAGTGTGTGCATTCCGTTTAACGGTGGCTTCCATGTACACTCACAGACTTAAGAAATCAACAGCTGGCATCGCAGCAATGGTAAAGCATGATGTGAGCTTCCCAGAGTGCACACACATGTGTGCATGTGTATCTGCATGTGTGTATGTGTAGGGGTTATGTGTGTACGTGTGTATAGGTGTATATGCACGCCCATGTAGAGGTCAGAGGTCAGCCTTGTCCACCCTTAGGCACAAGGTTCTTCACTGGTCTGAAAGTGACCAAGCAGACCCAGCTACCTGGCCAGCAAGCCCTCCCCAGCTCTGGGATTACAAGTTAATGCTAGCACACCCTGTCCCCAAACAAATGACAGCCCCTCCCCCCCCACACACAGTGAAAAACTATAAACAATAATCGAATGGCTTTGAAAGCACTAAGTAAAGTCAGCACTAAGTAAAGTCTAACATCATTAAAAGAAAAAGGCAAGCAAGCAAGAAGGAATCCCACAGGGGAGAGAGAGGCAGGAGGGTCAGGACTTCAAGGTCAGCCTCCCCGCTACATAGGGAATCTAAGGCCAGCCTGGGCTACAAATACCAACAAACAAAAAACCAGATTTTAAATACCACCAGCAGTGCCAAATAGTTATTAAAATAGGCTTCATGATAGTTCCATCTTTTTAGACTCCTATGCCCTAAATCTCTTAAATTCTCATTCATGAGAAAAGCACCATAAAGTGTTTCTAAAAACAAAGATTCAGAAAGCCAACATTTCCATGGCCGCATGACCGAGCACACATCTGTGAAGAGGCAAGAGGCTGCGAACTCAGGCTTGAACACTTGCTTGCAGAAAGAAGCACATCTGTGAGAGGCAGACTGAAAACCCAGAGGTGACCATGCCATGCAGGTGAGGCAGCTGGCTGGTGAGGGAGCCTTGTGTTAAACAGCACAGTTTTGGCCCACACTGAGGAAAGGGATTAAAACTCAGGTAACCCTGCCTGAGGGACAAAAAGCCAGAAAGAGCAGCAGAGACCAATCAGCAAATAGGAAAAGTCAAGATGCAGCAAATATCCAGTATTGGGTTGGGAGTGAGGCAGAGGCAGGAGAATCATAAGTTCAAGGCCAGCCTAGGCTATTATCACAAAACACAGCACTAAAGTCAACTATATTCTTTTAAAAAGAGACAAGTCAGCCAGGTGGTGGTGGTGCACGCCTTTAATCCCAGCACTATGGAGGCAGAGGCAGGTGGATCTCTGTGAGATCGAGGCCAGCCTGGTCTACAGAGCGAGTGCCAGGACAGCCAGGATTGCTACACAGAGAAACTGTCTCAAAAAACAACACACACACACACACACACACACACAGAGAGAGAGAGAGAGAGAGAGAGAGAGAGAGAGAGAGAGAGAGAGAGCCCCCTTTCACTGTAAATAAGGAGAGAAATGGGGCATTGAAATGGCTCAGCAGGTAAAGGACTTGCTACCAAGCCTTACAGCCTCGGACAGGCTCCCAGAATACACACAGTGGAAGGAAAGAACCAATTCTGCTGCCTCTAACCTCTGCATGCCTGTGTTGGTGCATGCTCTTTCATCCGTGCACACACTTACTTCTCAGACATGCTGGCCAGGACCCTTCCTGACTGTACCCCCAGCTGAGCGCAGGA